TGCCTTGAATCTTTCCTGGAAGTCTCTTTCTCATCTTGTGACAAACAGTGTGCTCATTGTGTGGTGCAAGGAGCTCTAGGACCCATAAGGATGCTGGCAATAAAGAGCAGGCTGTGGATCAGGTTAACTATCAGTGCAAAGTGCCCATAGAGAGGGATGGTAGGGAGAAGAGAGTGAGCTAGATAAAAATGTTCTGAAGGATTAATTGTGGCTATTGGTTGAACCCGAATGAGAAATATTTTGAGGGAACTGATGTAAATGAACTGTACTGTAGCCAGGTGTGGAACAGGCCTTGCTAGAGTGATTCTTTTTTTGTGTAAACAAAACAATGATGTATAAACAGTTTTGGCTTTTGTTGGAGAGATTTTGTATATATATGTTAAATTCAGCTGGGTTGTCAATGAAAAAGATAATGGTGATTTGATAGGAAAAAAATCTATATAACTTATTTTCAGCCACTCTGTGAGTTTAAAGCAGCTGCTACCAGAAACTTGACTATTATTACATCTAGAGAAGGAAAGTGGTTTTGATTGAAATAGAGAGAAAATAATCAGAAGATTAGACAAAAATACCTAACTTTAAATTAATCCCAGAGAAAACTGTATTTGTTTCAGTCTTGACACCTTCAGTAGAATCCTGATACAGAATCCTTAAAATGGTGTCTATAATATGTCATCTCACTCTGAGAGTTGTCCAGATGGGAACTCTTAATCTAACTGTCTTTAATCTCTAGTGTGAATAGACTTCTGTCTAGGATTGTTTCTCCAAATTAGTTTCTGTCTTGAAAGTGTTATTCTAGTTGGCTAACGTGAGCCAAAAAGAATTCTGAAGCTATTAAAAAAATTAGATGATATGGATAACTGTTTAGAATTAGATAGTTTATTTATTCTGTTTCTATGATATGCAAAATAAGTTACTACTGTAACATGTAGCTGATTTTTAAGACTCATTTAGACTAACAGCAAAGTGTAGGCTAAATCTGGGGGAAAAAAATCAGAGGAACACAAATAACTGTTAAATTATTTTGTTGCATTGAGCATTTTATGTTTGTGTTTGGCTGAATAGAGATGCTAGTAAGCATTGAAAATAAATGTGTATGTGTATATGTATAAGAAGAAAAGTGTATAATATAAATATATAAATATGCATATAAATTAAATATTTGTTTAGTTCTCAGCTAAATCTTACGGTTGCAACCTTTAAGTACACTTAGAACAGGATGCTCTGATCAGGAGCATTCCTTTTGCTGAAGTACAGTCACCTCATTTAACTTGCTACCAGCACCTCTTCTCTGTGACCCAAGTGACAAGAAGTAAGATCCATAACACCTGTATTGCAGCTGCAAGACTCTTGGGCAGGCACAGATTTAACTGTAGCATGAGCAGAATCCCTGTGGTAAAAGCAGAGGCAGAAGGGCTGATCTCTTTGCTTTGGGAACTAAACCAAATCCTAGGAACTTGTGTGCAGCACACTGTGTGAAGAAAGTACACATTTGGTCTTTCTAATTGCTTTTCCATTAACATCCCTGCATCCTTTTATAAAAAAAAAATTATTTAAAATAATCTTGTTTCAAGAAACAAGAGAGGCAGCTGGGAGAGACAGCTTCAATTCCATCAGTGGTGAAAGCTGTTGATGGTGATGTTACCCTTTATATAAGGTCAATTTTGTAAGTCCTAGCTTACAGAAGAAGACTGTGTTAACAGCTGTTGTCAAAACCACTGAAAAATAAGAAAATTCATCTTTCCCTGTTTTTAGCAGAAAGCAGTGCAATAGCATATGTTGGGTATACTGGGGCACTACAGAGGAAGTAAGAATGATGTAATACAAGGAGCCTTTATGGATAGCCTCTTTACCTTATGTTATATGAAGTGGTTTAGTGGTTAAATATGTGGCGCTGTCACCACCGAAGCCCGGGTTCGATTCCCGGTCAGGGCCTCTCCCCTGGCAGATGGAGCTCGTTAGCCCTGTAAGGCAATCCATCTACGTCCTGAGGACCTCGCTGCCACCGTCCAAGCTCGCTTGGCCCCAGCAGATGAACCTCAGGATTAAAGGGTGGGCTCAGTTCTGCGCACACTGTGTCTCACCTAAAAAAAAATCCAATGCGCAGGCTGGAAGGTGTAAAGACCTTCCCCGGTTCTTCGTTCGCGAAGACTGGCCATTATTATTATGAAGGTGAAACACTTTCACAGAGTTCAGTCTTTTATTGAGAGAGTATACCGGAGAAGTTTCTGTAATTAAAAAGCTGAAATAGGCTTTGGACAACTCTGGTGAAGCTTTCTGACTTCAAGCAGGCTTTTTAACTTGCCTATTATCTTCTGATGGATTGACTATTATTGTGAATAAAGAAAGCTTTCTTTATTTCACTTCATTTTTGCTCATGGTTTGATTTTAATATACCAAGAAAATGTTAGGGAAACTTGATAAAATATGACCGTAGACTAGGTCCAAATAGACGTAGAGAGCTGTCAGTAAAGTGCATAACAAAAGTTATTATTCATTTGAAAAGCAATTTCATAATATTTTTAAGACCTCCTCTAGCCTCTCACTAAGTCTTTAATGTAATCTGAATGCTTGTGGGAAACATTTTTAAAAGTAATGGTGTTCAAGATCCCTGTGACTTCTGGTATTTCAGTTCTTTGGAAATGACAGATCCTGGTTTGGGGAATTGAAATAGATCTATCAAGATGTAAATTTTTCTATGATCATCAGTAAGAACAAGTTTTGCACCATTCTTGCTTATGGAACAGCACTGTCTTGAGTTAAAATGCCTTTTAGTATGTAGAAGCTAAATCTACAATTTATGCCTTGATCTGTGTACCCCAGCATCTCACAGCTTCAGGCCAGAAAAGTGAAGTTTTTAAATTTCCTTGTCAGAGTCTATTTTACTCCAGATCAATCCTTCTGCTTTGGGAGTGGGGAGCTGGGTTCAGGAATGAGTGAATGAATGAGGCAAAGGTCAGGACTACCCTTTCAGTAGCTCTGCCAGGTCTAAATGCTGATATCATCAAGGCTGCAATTCCACAAGTAGAGCTCTTTGCAGAAACAGGAATCCTCTCATTCCAGTTTCATGAAAGGTTACAAAGCTTTCCCCCTCTGTTCTTACAAAAAATGCCTGACTAATCATTTATAACAGAGGGAAAAAAGGAATGCTGTTATGAAACAGCGTTAACCCATTGCCAGCAGAAAGCTACCTAAAGCATCTTGCCCAGTTAAGAGCAAGCTCTGCGAGGTACTCAAATTTAGTAAAATTTTCCAGATTTACTTTGATAAAGTACTTTTATTTTTTTCCTTCTTGGAGGCTTGAAGGGGAAGAACTTTGCAGTTTATAGTGATGCTTTTCTAAATTGATTTCAAAGATACTTTCATTTTAATGAGAGTTGGGAATATTTTCTGTGATATTTTCTATGATCACTTGAGAAAAGAAATGGCTCTTACGTCAGAGAATGTGCTTGTACACTGGGAAGATTTTACAGGTTGTTGCTGTATTTAATCTATCCAGGCTCGCGGCAGTTTTCTACCTGCTTGAAAACCTGTTCACTTCTTTAACACTTCAGAAAGAGGGAAGATTAACGGTTCATATTACTTATCTCACTAAAGAGGGAACAAATGAAACCAAATTGTGAAAGTCTATAATAATCCAATGGCTACATTTTATCTCTTTTATACATAGCTAAATCTGAGACTTGTATTTTTCCTTCCCTCCTTGTTCTGTGGAATAAATATAAAGATCAAATTTGTATGCTAATGGAAAAAAATTTGTATTAATATATTATCATAAAAACCTTTTAGACATTGACTTCCATTGTGGCTAGATAATGGTGTTTTTTCTGCAGAAGGCAGATTTCTCAGCAGACATAAATCTGGTAAATCAGACCTTATGTTTTGGGTGGGTTTTAAAGTCCATGTTAAGTTGGCTGCAGATACAGAAACTCAGCACTTGAATGAATGTAGGAACCAGTATGTTCAGGGTGGTCTTCAAGTACAGTTGTTCTTATTGCCTTGTGAACTCATGGGCTGGTTTGTCCTTCAGCCCCTGTGTACAGCGTTTATTTAGAAGCTTGTTCCTGAGGGATCCTGACATCTTTTGCACCAGTGTGGAGGTGACTTCCTGATGCTTATTCCAACAGAATTTAAAACTTACGTAGTGTTTTAAAAACTTGTATGTGAAAGTGTCAGTGTCCCATATCTTTGTTCTCTTGATTTTTATATATCAATAACATTTATAAATTAATTAGATCACTTAAGTCTATTAATGTGTGACATAAACTCAGCTTTCAAGGCTCACTGAAATTTTATGGCTTCCTCCTGAGAGTATCAGTAAAAGCTGCATTGAAAATTGACTTTCATAGTTTAAAACAGGTATGCCATGATAGAATATGAGGCTTTTTAGCTATGTTAGGCCCAGTTTGCAGAAATAATTTAAACTACCTAATGTGTATTTGCGCTGTGATGATGATTGGTACAAGTGCGTATTAAGGACGTGCTGAGATCTTGCACTGAGACTTTCATGGTTTATTCTTCCCCTCTAAGCTGTTGTCTTGCTCTTTGTTTTTCTGATACTATTATGCTAATATCTTTGCTTTTGGGCAGAATTTATTCATCATCATTATGATGCTCAGTAGTACCCTGTAGATTTAAATGTCATTGTCTTGAGAGTCTTTGGGGGTATCAAGATAAGGATTCTGATGGTTAAGGCCAAGCATGTATTTTCATATATCCAATAAAACTTACAGCAGGGAACTGTTGTGTGCTTGTCTACAAATGAAATAAACGTGTTTGAATGAGACCTAAAACAGCATGTTACTCCAGTCCTGGCAAATGTTAGTATTAAATGGTGAGATTCTTATGATCTGTCTTTTGTCAGGAGACACAGCATGTCCTACTTCTTGCAATAAAAATGAAGTTTGTTACAGGGAAAATTTTGCTATTCTGATCTTGTCCTGCCTTGAGTATAAATATGTTACATTTTACTTCCTTTTTTTTTTTTTTTTCTTTGGCAGGTTATTTGGGAAGGGAATACTTTGTTGAACAAAACAGCACAAGATGACTTATGATTCCTGCTCTTCATGGGAACCTGTCTGGATTGGTATGTTTTGTGTTTTGTTCGTTGGTTTCTGCTTCGTTTTGGGATTTTTTTGCTACACTGACATATAATGACTGTAGGTATTGTCCACTTAAAATTTAGGAAGCCAAGCATTTAGGAAACTTCCAACTTGTTAACTGTGTGTTAATACTAGAAAGAGACTATGAATTAAAATAATATATTTTCAATAATGTTTTCAATATTCTAGGTCCTACAGTATTTAATTAACTCTTCATCATGAATATAGTTAATATGACCACTGAGCTAGTGGGAAAGTTAGAGGAAATATGACAGTACAACACATGAACCTAGAACTGCATAAGTCCTTTCACATGATCTACAAATTGAGAACATGAGTTTTCCCGAGAGCTAAGAAAACTGGATTATTCTTTACATTTTGCATATTTGTGGTTTGCAATAGTAATGATGATTCCCATGGCTGACATTTCTTGACAGTTAATGGCTCTCTGAATTAAGGACAGAAGGAAATATCCTCAAGAGGGCAATTAGTTGTACTAAATGACCCAAAGCAGAGGTGACTGTTTTCCCACAATTGCTACAGTAGTGTATATAGAGTGGAAAAAAGGACAATTTCCTAAATTAAAGTAATGCCTCTTGTGAATAGTTTTGCAGGTCATCTACTCATGCAGTGTAGTTGATTAGTTTCAATTTAGGATATGTAAATATGTATTAAAACTGAAAACTGCTGGTTCCTTTTAGGTAAGAACATTGTCCCTGCTGATTTGTGCTCTGACTCATTCTTTACACTGGCTTTAGCAGAAAGGATTCCACTGCAACATGTTCCTGCCTCTGCTTAATTGCATAGGAAACAATACTTGATTCATATTGAGAGGGGTATATGTCCTGGGCTGCTTTGTACGGTAATGGGGTACCAGAGAGCACATACTTGAGTATTTTCTATTGGCACATAAATGGTTTTGAAAACAAAATAAGCCCATGGTCTTCATGGTTGTTGTTATTGTTTTTCCCCTAGGAATATTTTGCTTTTTACATGGATTTTATGTTGCAAAAATAACTTTTGCCAAGTTTGACTTTGAAATAAAACCATTAATAGTAGGTATAAAGCATGCAGAAGCTTCCCATTTGTAACCTTAAAATGTCCCCAAGAAATAGGATCACTGTACCATTGCTAGCTTCAAGTTTCTGAATAAGAATGGCGGTTTTGTGTGCTAGCCCAAATTTTGATGCTGGTCAGTATTGAAAATATGCTTTTAGCAGACAAATATATTAAACCATTGAACATTTTGGCAGCTGTGTGCTGATCTGCATTAAACCTAACTGTTATTATGGCACTGTTAGGTTCCCTGTTACTGTTTTTGACTGATGTTGCACCTTTGCATATAAGATATAATGTTTTAATTCCAGTTGAGCATGCTATCCGAATTTTGAACAGAGACCTTTTAGCTTCTAAAGCTGTTAAAAACAGATGCCATAGTTCTAGCAATAATTATATTTGATGAATAGAATTTGTGTGTTATTTAGCTTTAAGTATGTACTTCATTGAAATAATTATATCTATTATGTTCCATAAAAAGAAAGTTGCATATGAGTGAGAACCTTACTTGAGAGAAAATGTGCATACGCAGTAAATTTTCAGCACTGAAATTGAAAACAGTGATTGTATGAACCTCTTTTGCATCTGAAAGAGACCTGTGAGAGTACATGGTCCAAAAGTGAGAATATTGTGACAAAAAGGTACCTATCTGCCTCTTGCTTGAGCACTTGACCATCAATAGCCTTACCCATTTAAACTATCAAAGCATGGTTGTCTTTTACAAGCTATGTGATTACTATTCAGCAGTGACTGTGGCTTTGAAATTACAGGATCTGTCTTTCTCAAAGAGCAAGTGAGAACTGAAATAAAATTGCTGTGAAGTCATGTTAGTGGTTCCTTTCATCTTATATTTCTGTCTTTACATAATTTTTGGGAAATTGGAAGGGTAGGAAGAAGGATGGGAGAACATGTTTAATAATCATGTACATGCTTATGGTAGAAGCCCTTGAAGTAGAAAGAAAAAAAAAAAGGAGAAAAATTTACTTATGACTGCAATAGAAGGAATCCTCTCGAATTTATTGGCTGAATTGTCAGTCACTTTTATAAAGGATGATAGCTGAGAAAGAGCATTGCCTGCAGGTTAGATAAGATACAAACCACATCTGAACATGCAGATTCAGTATGAACTGCCCAGAGAGATTTCATACCTCAAAGTGATAAACAGAGTAGAGGGAAGGGTGTTACCTGGAAATCATTGGGAAGCAGTGAGCACAGGAACAACACTCAACAGTTACTTTTTATGCTGGATCCAAAGCCTGCAGTCCTCTTACTGGGTTAGGTGTCTTCTTTGCAAGAGTTGATCACCGCTCCCTCTTTTGTCCTTGGAAAGACAGAGCTGATGACTTATGCAACAGCCAAATGGCCTCCACTCACTTCCCACTTCAAGCAGCTGGCTGGGTCCAGGCAGCAGCTTGCATGAGGTCGTTCTTCTTCTGTTAACGCCACACAGGAAAACATATGAGCATCACACTGAGGGGAGGAAGCACAAAATAGGAGGTAGCTATTTGCGTAGCGAGCTGGGATAGTGAGAGAGAGTATGTGAGATTACTATTCTTAGACACTTTCCCTGGGTTTGTTAAAAAAAGGCTGTAGATGTCTGTAGATGTCCTTTGCCCTTTTCTATAATCTAGATGCTCCTTGTCTTGAGAAATGTGGGGTAGCACAGTCTCTCTAACTGAATTAAGGGTGCAGAGCACCTTTGCTCCTGCTCCCCTTGTCTGGTTCCTTCTGTTTAAAAGGAAAATTTATGATAAAAGCAGTATTTTCTAAAACTTTGATCCTTTACTGTGGAATATTAGCAGTTGTTTGGTTGGTTTTTTGTTTCATTTTTTTCCTCTTTAAAGCTTTTATGATACATGTTACCATCTAAACCTCTGCTGAACTTCATACTTCAGGGTATAAAGTTGTGTGGCATAAAAGATGTAAACTTAAGCATAAAGAATGTAAACTTAACCTAAGTGAGCCAATTCTGTTGTGTATATTTAAAGTTAGTCCAGTAACTGCGTATGTATGTGCTCAAAAGTCTGTATTCAAATCAGATGGCCATGTACCCTTTGCAGTCAGCAGAGGGAGATGGGTGATTCATCTCTTCCTGACATGGACATCTGTATAAAGATCATGTGAAATAAATCCTAAATTGCTGTCTAAATCAACAGAAGCTCTATGACATCCACAACATCCTGTGGCAAGTGTTTTCACAATTAATTGTGAAATAATAATTTCCAAATCTGGACTCCTCAGAGACACGGATGTACTGGAGAGAATAAAGTGAAGGGCTACAAAGATGGTGAAGAGACTGGAGCATCCCTTCTATGAGAAAAGGTTGAGAGAGCTGAGACTGTTCAGCCTGGAGCAGAGGTGGCTTAGGGGGATTTAATCAATTTATATATATATATATACCTGAAGGGAAGGTGCAAAGAAGACAGTGCCAGGCTCTTTTCAGTCATACCAGGTAACAGGGCCAGAGGCAATGGGCAGAAGCTGAAACAGGAGGTTCCCCCTGAGCATCAGGAAACAATTTTTCCACTCTGAGAGCGACTGGCTACTGGAACGGATCTCCCAGAGAGGCTGTGGAGCCTATATCCTTGGACATACTCAAAAGCCACCTAGACATGGTTGGTCCTAGGCAACTGATTTTAGGTGGTACTGCTTGCTCAGAGAGGTTGGACAAGATGACCTCCAGAGGTACCTTCCAACCTCAGTCTGTGTTTTGTGATTCCTTTGATTTTTCCTATTCTTATGTTATGAAAGACAGCAAGCATTCACTTTCCCTGTGCCACTAATAATTCGGTAGACTTCTGTGATAGCTTTTTCCAGTCACCTTTGAATAGAGGTCAGGTGGTGCAGAACAGAACATAGTACTGAATATAAGAGGTGCCATGAATATGTATGTAGCAGGTAGCGTATCTGAATACACAGTATATACAACCTAGCTCTTGATTTTCTTCTCAGTTTCTTTGCTAACAATTCTGAGCACTTGGCTGATGTTTTCTTAGACTAGACTATGAAAATTTGGAGATCTGTTTTTCTTCTGGATGGTAATTATTGGTTTAGCACCTGTTACTGTGCAGATAACTTTTTTTTCAGTCCAGGCATAGCTTTATCTCTAGTGCTGAATTTTACTGGGCAGACTGATAGCTTGCCACTACTTTTCAAGAGATCCCTCTATGCCTTTTTATAGTTGATCTTAGTTTTTATTATATTGCCCTGAAAAACAGTTCGTGTTCATCATCAGCAAATGTCATGGGTTTGCATTTCCCTCTTCTCTTCTGTAGCTTGACAAGCTTGAACTGCAGTATAGATTTTCTTTGTAGGATCATTCTGGTGACCTTTTTTTTCTACAAAACTAACTACTACTCCTTTTGTTTCCTGTTTGAAACTGATTACTGTCTATAGGAGGGTTTTATATTTATCTAATGGCAGATTAGTTTCTTTTAGAGCCCCGTTGTAGAGACCTTGTCAAAGCCAATCACAAATGCAAAAGTTACCTTTGTGGCTTATTGCTTACAGAGCTCTAAAAGATACTGCCCAGGGGATCTAATTTTCTTACTCCAGGATTTTAAATTCAGAATGATTTGTTGAATTTATTCTCTTTTGCAGTCCCTGCAGAATGCTACAGCTTCCTTTCCTCTTCAGTGTTCTTGTCTTGTGGAGTCATAAACCTCAGTGGAACTTTGGGTGAGATTTTCTTGTTCATTGCTAAAATATTTCTTACTTATTCTGGAAAGTTCTGTTAACCTTTTTGCTGTTGGTTCCATACTTTATTCTAAAAAATATGTTAAAGATGACTAGTAAGGTTTATGAAGACCAAGGAAAGACTACTACAGATGCCTTAGGCTATAATTAGCATTAAAGCTTTCTCTAAAATAGTTAGTGTAAAAATAAAATTAAAGATAAATAATGGGGGCAAAAATCTAGAATAAAGTTAATAGAATTTTTCATTTTTGCAAAAATTTCAATATATGTAGCAAGTATACTTTTGCTGAGTTTTACAATTTTTGAAATATAATAGGATAAAATAGAAAATCATGTCATTCCCTCCCATTCAAGCAGTCAAATTTATAGGAAGTGGAATTTGTATGAGTCTCTGTTGGGTTTGTGGGACAAGGTTTTGGTAGCAGTGGGGCTGCAGGGGTGGCTTCTGTGAGAAGTAGAACCAATGTCAGTTGGTGCCAAAACGCACCCACTGGTGGCCAAGGCCGATCCCACCAGCAATTATGGAAGCACCTCTGGCGTAACAGATTTAAGAAGGGAGTAAAAGTTACTGTGCAGAAGCAAATTGCAGCTGGAGAAAGGAGTGGGAATATGTGAGAGAGCTCTGCGGAAGGGAGGATGTGCTCTGGACACCAGAGCAGAGATTCCCCTGCAGTCTGTGGTGAAGACCATGGTGAGGCAGCTGTGCCCCTGCAGCCCATGGAGGTCCACAGGGGAGCACATTTCCACCTTCAGCCCCAGGAGGACCCCAGCCAGCAAAGGTGGAGGCTGTGCTCCATGGGAAGCATGCACTAAAGCAGGCTCCTGGAAGGACCTGTGACCCTTTGGAGGGAGGAACCTGTGCTGGAGTAGTTTTGCTGACAGGATTTGTGACCCTGGGGGTGACTCATGCTGGAGCAACCTCTTTCTGAAGGACTGCACCCTGTGGAAGGGACCCATGCTAGAGTGGTTCAAACTAAAACTGCAGCCTATAGGAAGGACTCATGTTGGAGAAGTCCACGGAGGACTGTCTCCCATGGGAGGGACCCCATACTGGGGCAGGGGAAGAGTGTGAGGAGTCTTCCCCCTGTGGAGGAAGGAGCAGCAGAGACAACACATGATGAACTGACTGCGACCCCTGTTCCCTATCTCCCTGCATTGCTGATGGGGAGGAGACAGAGAAAATTAGGCACAACGTTAAGCCCAGGAAGAAGGGAGGAGTGGGATGAAGGTGTTTTTAAGATTCTTACTTTCTCATTACTCTACTCTGATTTAATTGTTAATAAATTAACTAACTTTTGAGCCTACACGAAGCATGTGGTCCCCGTGCAAATTTACAAAAAACGTTCCTTCCTCCCATCACTTTTGCCCAGTGTTGATACCAAGCAGAACCTGCTTAAATACTGCAGGCAGGATTTGTGCTACCAAACATAAGCTGTTCATGTTAGCAGCACAAGCTTGTCACTGTGTGCAGAGATGGAGGAGATAGATTGCCCTCTGAAGATGCCTCTATCCCTCTTCTGATTATAAACATGAAAACAGCCAGAAGGGACTGTTGCAGTCATCCAGAATGAATGAGGTGAATCCCACTTTCTGTTTCTGGCTGTAGTGATCTGTTTTTTAAAAGGGCATAGACCTTCTGGTATCCAGCTTGATCAGATGCCAGTGTGCTCTGAGAGTCTTTAATAGTCCAAGACAGAGGGGAGGAGCTAGCAGTGAAAAGGGGAGACAACTCTCAAATCTTTGTATTTTATTTATAAGAATATGTACATGTAAGTATATGTAATAATACAATACTAGTACACGTCAAGATAGTAAATATGAGGCAGTACATGTAAACTATGAAAAGAAACATTGCATTGTGTCAATACCTGAAAGAGGCCTGTGAGAAGGCTGAAGAGGGATTTTTTGCAAGGGCATGTAGTGATAGGACAAGGAGCAGTGGCCTTAAGCTGAAGTGAGGGAGAATTAGCCTAGATACTAGCAAGAAATTCTTTACTGTGAGGGTGGTGAGGCACTTGAACAGGTTGCCCAGAGAAGTTGTGGATGCCCCATCCTTAGCAGTTTCGGACAGGGCCCTGAGCAACCTGGTGAAACCTAATGAAAGGTGGCAGTGGGGTTGGAACTATATGACCTTTTCTGCCCCTTCCAGCCCAAACCATTCCATGACTGTATAATGGCAAGGGAGGGAGTTGAACGGTTAAAGGATTAGATCTACAAGGAAAAAGAGGGTGTGTATGGTTAAATTATATGGGATACCAAGGTAAATTAACAAAGGCATGCCTAGACCAGTAAAAGCGGGAAAACTTGCTGCCATAGGAAGAGTTGTAGTGAGCAAAGAGATGGTTTCCTGCATCTTGATACGAGTCAGTCCCTAACTGCAACAAACTGAGAAATACTTTTGTCCTGTGGACAAGTTACTTGATGATTAGTAAGAGGTTAGGATGTTTTGCACATTTTTCCCGAGACATCTAATGTGGATGACTGACACAGAACCAAGAATTCTCTGTTATGTACAGTAATTTGGATAGGTAGTCTTTTTAATGCTTGCCAAACAGGCAGGTAGAAAATACTGATACTATTTAAGCTATTTAAAAATGTCATTAAACTTTCCATCTGTAGGCAATTTCAAAACATAAGAATGAAGTCGATTTAAAATTATGAGATTTAAGTAAACATACTTACTTGTTTTATTCACTCTTAATCAGTAAAATTTGTCTTCAAACACAAAAGTTTTCCAACCTTGATTATGGTAGGAAAAAAACTTGGTGAATTGCGAGTATTGTATGCTATCAGCAGCACTACAGGAGCAGGAGAGAAAGGCCAAATAATTTGAGACTTCTGTGTCTGGTGCTTAAATAAATTGTGTCAACCTGAAGTGTAAACATGTATTAAGGATGCTTTTATCATTGAGGAAAGCTGAGCAATCATTTGGTTCCCACTGGTTTCAGAGTTTTACTTTGTTTCTTTACATTTCTTTCTTATTTTTCAGATGGAAATACTGACATGAATTTAAGAACTTTGACACTTTCAGACATTGAATTTTGATTGTTAAACGATCAGTTAAAAATACTGCCTGAACAAGATGAAATGCCTTGAAGACTTTTGGTTCTGCTTTCATTTCTCCTGAAGCAATGGTTTTCTCAGCAATGTTGACGCTGGCCCAGTCTGGGACCTCAAATGCTACTTTTATTGTCTATGAAAATGCCTATACGAATTTTACCACTCCCCAGTTCTTGCTTCATAGTGGCACAACACAGCCACTGAGATATAGTTCAGGTGTTGTGCTCACCACTGAGAGAAGTACTTTTCTGGTAAACACTACAGCTATCCTGCCATCGCAAGAAGTTTTCCGGAGCTTGAGTTTGCCACTCCAGATCATTCTTTCTGCTGCTATGATATTTATCCTGTTGGTTTCTTTCCTTGGAAACTTTGTTGTCTGCCTCATGGTCTACCAGAAGGCGGCTATGCGATCTGCAATTAACATCCTCTTAGCAAGCCTGGCTTTTGCAGACCTGCTGCTGGCAGTGCTGAATATGCCATTTGCTCTTATAACAATCATTACCACTCGGTGGATTTTCGGGGATATATTTTGCAGAGTTTCTGCCATGTTCTTTTGGCTTTTTGTCATAGAGGGGGTAGCCATTCTTCTCATTATTAGTATTGACCGATTTCTTATCATAGTTCAGAGGCAAGATAAACTGAACCCTTACCGTGCAAAGATTCTCATTGTGATTTCCTGGGCAGCATCCTTTGTTGTTGCTTTTCCGTTATCAGTAGGGAATCCTAACCTGGAGATACCCTCAAGAGCACCTCAGTGTGTTTTTGGCTACTCTACAAGCCCAGGTTACCGAGCCTATGTGATAGTTATCTTGCTAATTTCTTTTTTTATTCCCTTCCTGGTAATGCTGTATTCTTTTATGGGCATACTCAACACCGTCCGCCACAATGCAGTTCGTATCCATAGCCACCCTGATAGCATATGTCTCAGCCAGGCCAGCAAACTTGGTCTCATGAGCTTACAGAGACCTTTTCAGATGAATATTGATATGAGCTTTAAAACTCGTGCCTTCACAACCATCTTGATTTTATTCCTTGTCTTCATAGTCTGTTGGGCACCATTCACCACTTACAGCCTTATTGCCACGTTCAACAGCCACTTCTACTACAAGCACAACTTTTTTGAGATAAGCACTTGGCTCCTTTGGCTCTGCTACCTCAAGTCTGCACTGAACCCACTGATTTACTACTGGAGGATTAAGAAGTTTCATGATGCATGCTTAGACTTGATGCCCAAATTCTTCAAGTTTCTGCCACAGCTCCCTGGCCACACGAGGCGGCGCATTCGACCCAGTGCCATCTACGTGTGTGGGGAGCACCGGTCAGTGGTTTGAAACTGCGGTTCTTTGACAATGTTGTTGCATTTTGGGATTATTTTCAGGCTTTAGGTTGAATTTTGTCTTGTTTCATATGGCTTTTTCGGTATGGCCGTATCTTATAACTTGATTTAATTTTCCACTACTCTGTGCAATTTTGGGAAGAAAGATAGAGGGAGGGAAAGTGATTGGTTATAGTTGGGTTTACTACCGGAATACAATGTAAACAAAATAACAAATGTTACCTCTGGGATTCCATGGAAATCCATTCTTTTAAATGAAAACTGCATTTGTAACATTTTGTCAGGTTTATGCTTACTAGGCCTGCAATCTAATTGTAGGGACTTTTTATGCTGCTAAGATATGGTGTATTTAGTTGGTGTAATTTTTCTGAAAAATGTTGCTGCTGTCTGCCAATTTATTAGAGCCAAAAAGTCTCATTAGATTACTTCTATTTAATTTAACAATATTTCAGAAGTTTTCATGATAACATTAGAAACCTTTTTTTAGTATTTCCATTAATATTTTTGTGCACTTTACAAAATTTACTATATACTTTTTTCATTGGAATGTTTTGTTCTATATTGAAGGTGTATTATTATTGCTGTTATTATTATTGGTTATGTTGGTGAATTTCAATGAAAGACCCATGTAAGCTCTAGGAGAGCAATTTATGTTGGTATAGCTACATGTACAGTCATAAATTTGCTGTTTTTCTAACGATTGGTCAAAAGTAACATTAACTGCTCAGTTTTCAGGGGAGTTAGAAGGAGAAAATGGAGGAATGGAAGGGAAAGAAAGCAACAAAAATTCCATGACCTGAGGTTTAGGCTAACACACGATTTAGTGAAACAGTGTTCATGTGAAAATTATTATGGGGTAAAGGGTGATTGTAGTTGTTACTTGAGGCTGTTACAAGCTGCTCAAACCTGATGATATCCCTGAAAACCTATCTGAAATAGTGATTTTTGGGCCTGCAATTTGTACTGTGTTTTTGTAATGATGTTTCTGCTCAGAGCTTGTATAAGGCTGGGTATGCTCTACAATGTTGAAATCATGCTGTCAGGCTTTTCTTGGGATAAAATTAGAAATATTAGGATAAACCAGAAAAGAGATGGCAGATAACCCATAGCTGAGGTTAGGATTTAGTCTATATAGTAATTACAGGGGAAGAAAAAATCCTCAACTTGCTTCTTTTACAAGTTAAGTGTTGGATCAAAACCATAAACACACAATCACAGAATCATGGAATGGCTCAGCTTGGAAGGGACCATCTAGCTCCAACTCCACTGCAATGAGTACAGCCACCTTCCACTAGATCAGGTTGCTCAAAGCCCCGTCCTCCCTGGCCTTGAACACTTCCAGGGATGGAGCATCCACAGCTTCTTTGGGCAACCTGTTCCAGTGCCTCACCTCCCTCAGAAGTAAGAAGTTATTCCTGTATCTTATCTAAATCTACCCTCTTTCAGCCATGACCCCTTATAACAGTCAGCCAGCAGACTTTGCTGGGGTTGTAAGTTAAATTCCCCTTTTCCCTCTGATACTACTTTACATTGATTTTTTTTTTTTTTCATTGCCTCTTTGTCTCTGTAGTGGCTGCTGCCTTAAGGGTTTACTCTGCTGTTCTCATCTATTAGGCATCAGCTTCTCTCCCTGAAATGCCGAACTACCTTTCTGATTAATGTCAGGCTGTCTTGGTACCTGCCTGGAAAGCAGAAAGGCAGAGATTTTTCTTAGTGATGGCAAACCAGATTTTGTTGGTTGGTTGGTTGGTTTTTCTTTGTTTTTGTTTTTTTGTCTTGTTGTGTTTTTTTTTTTTTTTTCCCAATCAGCTAAATAAATATTTATTATGAGATAAGTAAAATTAAGACTTAGGTTTGGGCTTTGAAGCCAGATCCCTGGTTGCTTTGAGGCTTAGGAAAAATGCCTGTAAAATTTGTGTGTCCTTGCAGTGAGCTTTTTGAGCCCATGACTGAGAACAGGGTACAACCAAACCTAACAACCAGAGCTAGAATTTGAGCTTCTCTTGCTTCCATCTCTCTTTCAGAACCCCAAAACATGGGGGACCTCTTCATTGCTGTTGTACCTGAGGAGCAAATAATAGCAGTTTGATCTACTTCTGTCTATCCACGCAGTACATGTTTGCATGAAGAAAATGCCTTGTTCTCTGTGGATGTCCGGGTACTGCTTGCTTCCTGAGGACAACAAAACATTCCCACCCCAATGTGAATTCTTCTTCAGTGAAGACCTAATTTAAGTTATCTCTGTTCTTCTCATTGACAGCTATTGGTAAAACTGTTGGCAGTATTTAAATTTTAGGAGCATAAAAGGAACAATTTTGAATTTAGTAATTTCATTTTTAAAAAAAGCTGCTAGCTGAGGTTGTAGGTTACATGTAAAGTTACATGTTGTCCAGCAGTGGCGATGTTATTGATGTCCATACTTTCCTTTCCTTGTCAACTTCACTGATGATGGTATGGATTTTTCTGATTGAAATAACAGACAGTAAAAGACTTCCACCATAAAAGAGAGTGTTTTAGTGTGTCTTTGCAGTAAAGCTTTTATTTTCCAATTACATTTACATTGATAGCAGAAGTTTATGACCTAGTTAGTATGGATTTTCCATTTCAGAGCTGTCATGCCTGTTTATCTCTGAAAGCAGCAAAACTGTGCTTAGACTTAAAAGTAATAGAGAGCATACACTGTCTAAATGGCAGGAACAGGTATTTTTACTGTCTTCCAGCTCTACAATGTAAGAGATTTGAATGAGTGTTGTAAAACATAATAATTCAAGAAGGAACGAAGATGAGTAATACAGGAAAGTTAGTGAAATTACCTTTTTGAAGGAGGAGAGGAAAATGTTTTGTGTGTATTTCTCAATCTCTGATAAGCACTGGCTGTGAAGTAGAAGTTACAAACATCAAAGACAGTTAATTTGTTTTGTTAATAAAGTGTTTGCTTACACTGACTGTAACAAGGTTTCTCCTCAGAGCTGCATCTGCTGACCCTTGGAGAAAAGAAACCCAAATCGCTGGCCCATATTCAGAGGTGATTTACATAGTGATACAGTACTCACACCAGTTTTTTTGAGGTGATCAGAGCATACAGTGAACAAAAGGATGTTCAAAAATCAAGGTGGTTTAGAAGTATCCCCAGGGTAATTATGTGTTTACAGATCTATTTGAGCTGTTGGGTCTAATATACATCTCTAGAGCAGTGCCTTGATAATTGCAGCTGAAGTCCTAGCACCAAGTTGAAGACCTCTAAACTGCTCAGTCTTGCTGCCTGTGATCCTGCCAGGGATCCTGCATAACCATGCTAACATTTGTAAATGTTAAAACATAAACATGTTGGCAGAATTTGGGCTACTGAGGCATTTTAGTGGGCTTGACCAAGACCAAGGATTTTAGAAACTCAAATAGATCCTTCTCGACTCTGTGTGGGAATTATAATTTTCTTCCTCTCCAGAAATCAGCCATTACTAGTCCATATTCCCTCATGTTACATTTGCAGACATCTTTAATATGGAGGATTTAAATGAATGTATTTTGAATTATGTTGCAGTTTAATTCATTCTGTCAAAGCATGCTGCTTACACAGTTCTCAGTTGTACAAATCTATTGATGAAATGATTCTTTTGTACTCAAAGTTGTGTATTTTTGACATTTCCTGTTATTCATGTAAAATATTTCTGTATATATAGAAGAAAATTGTTTTGCCTCTTATTGCCTTCTGTTACTATTTTTTTGTACTTGTATGCTTAATGCTTTCATATTTTATTTTGGGAATATGCATAAAAAACCTGTAAGATTTCAATGATTTTTCTGCAACCATTTGAGATTTCTAATTCTCAGATCATTCAATAATGCCCTCCGTGAAAGAGATTTAAATTTATTTTTGTGTGAAAGCTAAAAACTCAGAGCACAAGTTTTTGTTGTGGTTAGAATGGTGAGGAATATCTTAAGTCCAGTTTTCCAGGAGCCAGGATGAACTGGCTTGACTTTTTTTTTTGAGAAGTAGTCCTTTTCTGATGTGGAGAAACCTTGAATTAATGTTTTAAAACAAGTTGTTAAGTAGAATGGCATTGTCTTTTCTGTACATATTACACCTGTGAAAACACCTGAGAAAATAAACAAAACAAAAAAAGAAAATAAACATAAACATTCTCCAAAAAGGCAACAAAAGTCTTTAGAATTTACTCTATGTTTGTACATTCACAGGTTTCTTGGATTTAATGCCCAACTTCATAGTCTCAAACAATTTATCTGCATAATAAATAGCAAAGATTGCCTGATTTAAGTGGTTTTGTTTAAGCCAAAATGATTCTCATGTACAGCATTTAGAATGCTCTTTTCTGAGACACGGGGTAAAGACGTCAAAACAATTGAAAATAGTACCTAAACCAATTGAAATAGTATCCACCAAGTAGAGAGAATACCTAAAAAGAAAATAATGTTCCTAAACTACTACCTTAACTGGGTGTACTACCTTTTAGTTTGGACTGAGTAATTAAGATCATCTTATTCTGCAATAAATAAACCAAGCAGTGGTACTGCAGGGCAAGATTCATATCAACACAAGATAGTGACCTTTATGATCCAAGTGCTGCATGTTTGTATATGACAGATATTAGAAGAGCAAAAAATGTTCAACATCTTGGCTGTTTTGGGGAAATCTTTCAGCTTGCTAATGATTTAGCAGAAATTCTGCTGGATCAACTTCTCTAAATGCTGAAGTCAAAGACATGTCACTAAAGAATGCCTGAGAGGGGATGGGTATTTCTGATGCTTGGAAATGGCCTTCCTCAGCTGCCCACATGCCTGATGGTGAGACTGTACCTCTGCAACAATCACATTTTTCTCTCTCGTCCTCTCCTGGTCCCCTCAACCTCCCTGAAGTGTAGTGCCTTCTGCACTGCTGTGTTACAATAGGTAGAGTGGGTGCAGGTGGAGGTGCCTGGAGAAGCTGTGCAGCCAGCAAACTTCTCCACTCTCTCCTGCCTTGAGTTCAGGTTGGACTGAACAGGAACACATATATTTGCCTGTAGTGCAAACATATGTGCAATATATAACAATCCTGCTAGTGCAGGATTCTTGTTTTATCCCCAGTATTGTTACAGGTTTTATTCCACACTCATCTTTTGGACCCCGAGCTACATCTCCAGCTAATTCATGACTGAATAAGAATCCCTTAGCTGACTTGTGTCTCTGTGAGTGATCTGGGCACAGGATCTGCCAGTGAGCTTCCACCGTAACAGAACTTCCTACAGCTTGCTCTCAAAGAAAAATGACATTCATGGAGAAAACCACAACTCTGCTCCGACAGGAGGGGAATAACAGTGTTAAGTCAGTGACTGCATGGTATGGTGGACGAAAATGTGAGTTGTAATGGGACTTCTTAAGTGCCCTTTACAGAGAGAGTTTTTAAAATTTATTTATGGATACTTTTGCACAAACTGTTGGGTTGTGTTGTTCTACCTACAGTGAATGCAGCTTGATACCAAATCACTAACAGTACTGCTGATAAGTAACATAGTATTCATAAATACCAAAGTAGAGCATGTTCCTGGTTTATGTTATTATCCTGTCTAGCTAACCATCTTTGCTGGTGTGTGGGCACAGAACACAGCAATAATGAGACATATTCCTTGTATAGTTGGTGCTCTGCCTTAAATAGATTACTGCAATCCAAATCTCTGCAGTAGACCTGAAATAAAATTGAGAACAAAAATTCCTGTATGAGTAGGAATTCCACCAACATTGCCCTGTCTGCTGAAGGAGAATGTCTAGTGAAATAAATGACAATTCCTCCAAAAGTCAGTTTATATGATCTCCAAAGGGGATGTA